AGCAGCATCCAATTAACTTGGAAGATAGAATGACACTTAAAGTTTGCGAGCTGCCCAAGATCCTGTATTGCTTAAAAAACTACATGAAACTACATGAAACTACTCATACGTTCCTGAAACAACCCCAACATGTGACCCAAATGTTGAAACATATGTATATATGTATATCTTGTCTATGTATATGACTGGTATCAACTAGTCCTCCAAAACCCAGAGGTTGTAGTGTACGCCGCAATCCCAAACCTTGATCTCAAGCGCCAGTAACCCGGACCTGCAAAATAAGGCCCATTATATTGAAAACCCGCAGCATCACCCTAGTCCCCAAATTCCGAGATGCATACATAGATACAGGTTGTTTGCATGTCCATCGGTACATATATACAGAAGTAGGATATAAACCAAGCCTTGCACAGGCCGAGCTGATCTTGGTTCCCACTGCACTGCCCTACACAGAGCCGAACGTGTGAGGGCTTATCAAAGAAAGATTCTTTTGTTAAGTACTTCAGGCTTTTCAGAGGTTCCTATTGGAAGGGCTTCCTTCTCTCGGATTCTTTTTAGCAGCCATCTTCCGAAGCATCCGAATTTTTCATAAGTTTCCATCGAGGCACTAAGGTGCAGTCCTTTGTCAGTTTAGAGTTCTGGAGTTAGGTCTCAGGCATTAGGTGCGAGCAACTGAAGCCCCGAGCGACGGTGCAGACGTTGCGCAAGTCAGTAGGTAGTCTGACAATTGCCCATGTACTGTTCATGAAGCCCTGATAACAGGTAAGCCTGAAGATCATTCCGGCCACCGCGATGCAAAACCGCCTGTTTCTCGATCCGCCTTGTTAAGGAGAGTGTGGGTGCATAGCTGGCAGCTTCTGGGGTTCGGGCTTAGGGTTCATGGTTCAGTTTTCGGACTTGGTTTCAGGTTTGGGGTCTAGTGTGCCCGACAGGAATAGTCTTTGCACCCCCCTGAGACACCAAAGAGTGAAGTATCATCTTGAGTTGATGAGCCTGGGCTGGGTCTTCAGTCTTGGGAACCCAGATTCTGGCTACAGTTTGCAAGTACTGACAAGTCTTTGTACACAACGTCTTTACCAAAAATTCGGAGATGGCTTCAAAATCACTTTCGAGTTCAGGTGCTGCAAACGTGAGATGGAGTCAGGTTGGCTTCAAAGAAAAGTGGCACCAGGCAGTTACCCTCCCCAGAATAGTACGGAACTGCATGTGGACTTCTCTCGGCAGAATGGAATCTTCATGGCCGCTGTTTGCAGGTCTCATTGTAGCTTGGGGAAGCGCAAGCAGGAAGGAGTGCAAGAGCAAATGCAGCTCATTCTTTAGTGCCAGCTTGACCTGGACATGGTGATTCCTACCAGTGGGGTCCATGCATAGGATGGTTTCCCCCCCTTTTAGGATTGACAGTCCGGGCAAGTTCCCAAAGCCCTTAATCATGCACCTCAGAGACCGTCCTTTAGTCTCGCCAGACTCATCCCTCCCTCGTCTAAGAAGTAGATCCCCAAAATATGTTCAGTACTCGAGGCCTAGATTTTCACAGGGGTATCTGAGTTTATACGGCCATGGACAAGCAACTTTTGAGATCCTTTCAGCAGGCCTGGTATGTTTTACATCCAACGACATCCAAGCCTTCAATCCAGCTTCCTGTGCCATGAGCCACATAGTTCAGGATTTGGGGCAGATGTAGGGTGCCCCTTGAAGAGGTCTTACCAGGGCGCCAGTTTTTTGCCAACTCCCACGGTTCAGGTTTGTGGCGTATTGCAATCTTCCTTGCTTGCCCCGCGTTTGTGGCGAGCAGCTTAGCGGAACCATGGAGGCTCGAGGTGCTGGCCAGGATTTGGGGCTGCGGGCTGAAGGCTTTGTTCTTGCAATTTGGTCGCTAATGGTACACTTAAGTCAATGCGGCAGTGAGACATGGCCCACAGCCTAACGCATGGCTTCCAAAGAAGAAGGAAAGCTTCCTCAGCCTCACGACCCTTGCGATTCCCCAAGAAGAATCTCAGCCGGGGTTTTCAGAATGTTGCCTGCAAACCTGGAACGCTCAAATCCCTTCAGTAGCTTTGTGTATGAGTTTCAGGATACTTGAGGCCTCAGTAAGGGGAATGTCCACGAAACCCAGGCACGGACCCTTTCACTCTGCCGTCCACCCCAACCTCAAACTCATAAAGCCATAGGAGAAAGACTCTTCAATCCAAAGCTGAGCTCAAAGTAAGACAAACCCCTACCTTGTCCATTGTGCATAGTAAGATACTTCGCTGGAGTAGATATAGCGCATTTGACAAAACTCACCCTAAGCCCCTTTGCCTGCCAAGCAAAAAAGGTAAAATGAAAACGAGTGACCCTGAGACTGAAATGGACAAGCTGGCGAATCCATATTTCCCCTAGAGATTTTTGGAAAATCACATGGCAAAGAACATGGAAACTACATAGGGGATGCTAAGGCCTGATATTTCCCTCGACATGGTTTAGTGGCAGGCCTTTGCTGTGTCGTTACTCTCTGTGAGTAGAGGCAGCACACAACCGGGCAGATTATGTGTGGCGACTTGTGTCAGCCGCAAGGTCTTTTTCACTTTCGGCTCTTACCGGGGACCCCCACTGTTGACAAGCACCCATTGTTTGCGGCTGGCCCAATCCAAGGTATTTCGCGGGCCATTCTTGCGTGGCCTGGCTGGACTCTGGAAGGTTCTGTCTGTTTTAGGGTTGAAGGTTGACCGCTGGCATTGTTTAAAAATTAGATTTAGCTAGATACGTGGCAATCCTGAAGCCTCATCGTAGTGCCATTTCATGAGCCTCAAAATTTAACTTGATGACTTCTTTACCATCCCGACAGAGCCCCTCTGATCCCTACATATTCCCGGTAGAACCTCGCGAAACTCTGCGCGAGCACCCCGGCTCACGCGAATGTCGAGGTTACCATTTGGAGAGAACAAAAATGGATGTTTTCTTGATCATGGGGGTCCCAATTCAGGAGCATTGAAGAATGTGTTCGAGAAACTCCAGTTTCCTGCCACAGGACGTACATCATCCTGGCAAGGTTGTCGGTGATCATGGGAATCCTGAAAATTCAAGTTGCCTGAAGTTCAGGCCTTGGCATGTAAGCCTCATATTCAACATCAAGTAAAAGTGCTCAACACTGAAGCTTCCTTTGAAATCAAGGGAAGGGAGGAACCCTAAGCCCTTTGACTCCCAGCTCCCTGCAAGCCGAAAACCCGTACCTTCTACAGCTTCAGCCCCAAAACCGAGCCCTAAACCCTAAATTCCAAAACATAAGCCTTTCCTCCTTTGTTGAAGGCCACTACACACCCCGGATCCTTTCCCAGAAGAGGGTAGGGATGAACCCCAGGTAGCAGGGCCTGATGGCAACCACTGGGCCGGTCCCATGGGCTGGAGTGACGAGGGGCTGCTGCACTGCAAGGCGGGGTCTTGGGTTTAATGTTTGTATTTAAGGTTTAGGGGCTATAAGCGTTTGCGTCTAAGGTTTTGGGTTCAGTTCACGCATTTTAGGTTTGGGCGGTTTGGGGTTAGGGTTTTTGAGGTTCAGGGGTTCAGGTTGTGCGTTTAGAGTTTGCGGCTTGGTTCATGGCTTAGGCGGTTTGGGATGTAGAGAAGAAGCTTGAGTGGATCCTGGTAGTTATCTTAGGATTCTGCTTCTTGGGGGTATACCACTGTTTGGCTTCTGTTGGGCATTAGGGTTGCAGGTTGTGTTAGCTTCGTGCATCACACTGCAAGAACTTACACGCCTTCGCTTCAACCAGCTTTGTCCAGAGCAAGGTGGGTGCTCACTTGGGTGGAATATTTGCTCGTATCCCAGAAGGAAGGAAGACCATGCGACAGAAGGCCTACCATGTACCTTCCCGAAATCAGTCCACGACGATCCCTTCTCAACCGCTTGGAGTTTCGTGCTCGTTTTGTAGGGTAAATCTTGAAACTGAAGCCTTAAACCCCGAATCCCAACCGCAAGCCCGAAACTGTGTAAACACCATGGCAAGCTGCTGAGGTGGGGTGGACCAAACAGCTTGCCTACCTCACGCAGGAGACCCCGTACCTTTGCGACCGCAAGCCAGAGTCTTGCTTGCATTTTGCTTTGGGGTCAGCCTTGAGGGCTTGAGAAATTCTTCTCAAGTGATTTCGGGGGTGTATGAATTTTGGGAGGTGTAGGTCTTGCGGGCATAGGCCTCAGGCTTTACGCGTCTAAGTTCGGGACTGAGAGCTTAGCTTTTTGATTCAGGGTTTCAGTGCTTACCGTGGCAGCTACCAGCATGCATCATCCACTCCCATAAAATCCCTAGATAAAGGCTCCCAACACAAGGTGCCGTAGGCTTTTTGGGTCAAAGTCACAGGACCAAGACTCGAGTGAGCTGAAATCCCAAATCAAACGCTCAAACCCTAACCTCCCTGTAGTCTCTCTGAATACCTACCTCATCCCCATTAACACCCAGAACCCTTACACCGAGGCCCAAACCTTTAAGCCCAAATCATGAGCCCCAATCCTGCAACAGAATACCAGGGCCCTACATGCTGCCCAAACAGCTGAGCCTTTCTGCATAGCCCAAAACTCTTAAACACCTCAAACCTAAGCTTTCAGTCAGGAGTTCTATGCCAGCCAGGGCTTGTGCCAGCCAGCAGTTGACAAGACGCACAGCGGCATCAGGTTTGTGGTTCATGGAACTGTTGTTGCAGGTTTGCACTGCAGTGTGTAGGTTTCAGAGTTGACAGTGCAGGGCTGGTAGGGCCCTGCGTTTATTCCAAGCGGTTTGTAAGGGGTCTCTCTGTTTGGAGATTTGACCAGAAGGTTCCGCACCCACAGTTCCCATTCTGAGCGGTCGCGCCGCTACACTTCAACTTCATCACCCAAAACTTGGTACTCAAGCAAAGATCTTTTAGCCAAAGTAACGTGGAACCCTGTAGGCCCTTGTACCAAGGACAGTAGTCCATGAAGACCTTTTTCGAGGGTTCATGTTGTTTTGGGGGAGGGTAACGGGCTCAGAACCAAGGAAGCTCTCCTCCTACGAGGAATTCTACGGCTGCGGGCTATAGCCTCGCAGCCAACCTGCCTGAACTCAGATTTTGACTTGTCACTTGAGCCTTTCTGTCGCAACAGCAAAGCAAAGTGCTTCCTCAGTTTGATAGCGAAGCCTTTGTCTTTGCAGCACACTATCCTTTAAGAAGAGGAATTAGTGCTTGGAAGTTCGCTTCAACAATTGATAATTTTCGGCCTGTTCCACTGTAAAAAGTGCGAGTTCCGGCTGAGGGGTTCGGATTTTGGTTTTGAGGCTGAAGCCTTCATGGCAACGCGACGAGGGTACTGGTAGCAATCCCTGCGACTGCTGGCCTCTAGAACAAAAATCACTATTACAGGAACCTAGATGCAAGTCATGCCCCCAAACCCTCGGTGGAAGTCATGCTGGTAAGGGCTGCGGGCTTCGCTGAGCCAACTATGGTGACTTCAGCCAAACGGTGGCTTCTTTACTTTAGAAGATGGTCGCGGATGGCCTTAATGCTGCTCTTGCAAAAAGATGTACACGACAGTAACACTAGTAGAAGTGCAAAGCTAGAAGATTGTACCTCAGAGCCAAAATTACTACAGTTTAGCCAGCCCGTAGTACTGAGGAGTGTAGCCTTTTGAAACATGGAAGGAACAACCTCGTACGATCAATGAACCTCTGAGAGGTAAACACTGCGTAGCTGCCTCACGCCTCCCACCACGACAAGTTCGTGTACCCTCCCCCAGGCTAACCTGGAACCCCATATGCCCCCTTTCAAACGGCGGTGGTTGTCAGGACTTTCCCATTCTGGGAGGGGGTATAGTGCAGGACGAACTACAGAGTCTTGTTCGTTTCTCACAAAATCGCTGACATGCCTCGAGCACTGAGTAGGATCTATGTGATGTCAGATAGATCTCTCCGTCGCATCTACAAGCGCAAGGTTCATAGGCGTTGTTTCTCCTGCCCCTGAGGCACATGTTATACAGGTATGCCCCTTAGCCCCTTATATACAAAGGCAGAAGTGTAAACAGTGAATTATGATTTGACAAAGCATCTTCGCCAAGTACTCGCAGCTTCTTGGACAGAGCCATGGGCAACGCAGGCTGCTGCTCCAGCAGCAAGGCCTGAGTTTTAAAATCACTGAGCCCTAGGTGAGGTTTACGGCCCTAGATCCTAGAAGGTTACCCTTTTAAGGTTTAGCACAGAGGGTAAAGGTTATTGGCACAAAAGTCCCAAAATCTATACTCAAAGGGTGAACTTCTTTCAGAAGACTCAAGGACGGGGCGCCTGCCTACGAGGCCTTGTCAGCAAGCCCTGTCGGGCGCAAGAAGGCGGACCCAAGCTGTCAATATCGTAGGGTCTTAATGTTGAGGAGTCAGAGGTCGGGCTTCAACTTCAACTGGGGCGGATTTTGGAAGCCAATCCTGGGCGTGATGTACCCCTATGGAAAAACCGTAAGGAAATCACTTCAGCCCTTCAAGCGTAAGTATGCTTCCTCAATGGGAGTACATCCCTGATTACCTGCAAGGCTCTTTTGGTGGGCATCAACTACAAAAACACGGGCTCTGAATTGCGAGGATGCATCAACGACGTGAACAACATGCAGGCCGCAGCAAAAGAGCTCCCTGTTGTCAGTACAGAGCGGTGATAGTAGCAAGAAGCGCAGTCATCATACAAATACACCACACCAGTGCTCGCGCGAATCATAGAAGAAAACTAGCTCTCATGAGAATGATAGATAGTTGTGTGTCGCGTACGTGGTTGGAGGGTGGGTTGGTGTATTCTAAGCGCCCCCGTAGAGAGATAAGTTTCTTAGGATATATATGTATACAGTCTAGCAGAAGAGAAGAGAGAGAGAGAGAGAGAGAGAGAAAAAAACAAAAGAGAGAGAACTATTACTTCCGAACACCGAACTCAACCCTCCCACCCTAAAGCACATGAACCCCAAACCTTAGACTGCATCCACAGGCGATCCTGATCAAGCAGTATGGTTTTAAGCTGGAGGACATCCGAATGATCAACGAGGATCTCCGGCAAATTTAGGGTGTTGGGCCCAGAAGGCTTGGGGGCCGTTGATCAGCGGTGAGCCTTTTTTAGGGTTGGACCTTCTGTTGAGACTTCAAAAATCCTGCGTGATCTGCACCTAAGCCCACACACTCCCTGATAGTCCCATTTGAACACTTGGAAGTGCCAATGCAACCCGCTACAAAGCTCTTCCTTAAAATTTGCATTCATATACTCTAAATTCGATACCCTATACCCATCCTGTTTTTCAAAATCAGAGATCTTGCAGGACTTTCAAAGAGATCCACAATTTTGAGAGACCGTAGCCCGACCTGAATCCTCATCTTCATATGGCTGTAGAGACCCCATATCCGTCCTGTCTAACCTAACCAAACTTCCGTCGGAATTCCTCAGTACCTCATAAACTCTCCTCATTTCCTACATGCTCCTGAGGTACTGAATGTGTTTGTAATAGCGGAGAGAATGCTGTGCCGAGGACCAGGATCGCAGCTGCTGGCCCTTCAAAAAGGCCACCATAGTTTCACAAAGTTTGTTTTTTTGGGCTTGGGGCTTGAGGTTCGTTTTCAAGGCGGAGGCTAGCTTTTTCCTAACCCCACATGGGCCACACATTCCTGCAGATGAGCTCCCAATTACTCCGATGTAATCCCAGATATTATTTGTAGAGGTGATACTCGATGGAATGGACTGGCTATACCGAGACGCACAAAGTGGGGACGTGCTCGTGTTCCACTACAGTGGTCACGGCTCGCAGTATTCCCCTGATGAAGCTCGGCTCCTGACGTGCTTTCACTCTTTCCAGTTGACAGCACTCCTTCTGCTCTAAAGCCTGAACTCAATAGCGGCGAGCTTGCGAGAAGCCAGGACAAGAGCATGCCAGCAGACTGTATTTGCCCGCTGGACCTTATCATCGAGCGGAAGTGGCCGGACCATGTCATCTTGGACACGGAAATTCACGCCAAGCTATACGACCCTCCTTGAGAGAAATGTTGGGTCTAGGGTTCAAGGTTGACGGTTTTGGGTTTAGAGGCAAGATGTTGTGGGGTTAAAGTTTGATGTCTGGAACGAACTGTCGCAAACTCTTGCGTTGTAGCATCAGTTTCCTCAGGGTCAGAGTGGGGATTTCCTACATGGCTTATCAAACTTGACACAGAACCACTGTAGCTAAGCGCTTACTTTATTTGCATCAGTTTAGATTTCTCAGGTATTTCATGATATTTCTGCAGCTTATCCAGAAGCTTCGGGAATCACCTTCTGAATCCTTGCAAAACTTCTATCCTTCAAGAAAACAAAACATATCCCCAGCGTGATCCCGCAATTCTCCTAAAGCCTTAATCGAAACAACGAAGCCCTCAAGCCTCAAACCCTCAAACCCTAGACTCTGGACTCCAAAGCTCGTAACCACTGGAATTGGAACCAGAGAAGCCAGGATCCTCTTCCACCGGGCTGCAAGGCCGTTTGCATTTTTGACTGCTGCCACTCTGCCACTGTCGCAAACCTCGTTGAAACCATGGTGGCCACTTGACCAACATGACATGTCATTGCGCGCAGCATGCATGACCGCAGTAGCAGTTGTCGTTGCCATTTCCGTTCCCATCGTCGTCGCTGCCGTCGCTGCTGTTATCGTAGCAGCAGCAGCAGCAGCAGCAACAACAACAACAGCAGCAGCAACGTAGCCACGAAGCAGCTGCCGCAGCAGCTATAGTAGCTGTTGCTGGTGGTGCCGCCGTTGCCATTGTTGTTGTTGTAGCAGCAGCAGTGGCTGTAGCAATGACAGTAGCTGTTCTTGCATCTGTCTCGCATAGAATGACACTATATGGGTTGAGAAGCAGTTTGAAGCTCTGAGTGGGAGCAGCCTGCTAAGGAAGAAGGGCTTCCTCAAGAACCGGGTGGCTTTTGACCATCCTGGAAAACGTGTGCGTTTAAGGGAAATCAAAACAATTTCTGGACAATCTTCGTTGTCAAAATTTAAGTTCGGTGCTTGAAGGGCACTCTATATCTTCAACCTTAGATACTGTTCCCATTCTAGAACGATTCTCCAGTATCGGATTCATTACCCTCTAACGATCTCATATCTGTGGAGTCCACCCTAAACCGAACCTCCCCCCTTGAAGCTTCATCAAGGTGAAGGAAGGGCCCATCACCGAGGCGAAGAAGAAGAAGCTGGTGAAGGAGCTGACACGCCAAAGGGACTCAGTTGCCACAGAGGCGAACAAAGAGCGGCAAAAAGCAATAGGACGTAGGCATTAGGTTGTAGGCATTGAAAGTGATTGTGGAGATTTGGGTTTCAGGGTTGGGCTGGTGGCAACTATGTGACGTCCAAAAAGATGGATCGTTGATGCAGGGACCCTTTAAGGACCTAGGGCGTTGTAGACTGCATACAGAGGGACTCACTGCCCCAACGTGCTACGAAGGTCCGCTTCTATCGCGAGGTGAACTCAGGGAAGCTGGACATAAAAAAGAAGAGCCGAGAGGAAATGATACAGCTGTTGGAGAAGCATGCCTACCCCAAGAAAGGAGATGGTTCGGGGCTTTGGGGAACTGTCGGGTTTGGGGATTTAGGGTTTCGGGTGTTTAGAATTTGAGGCCTTAATTAAGACTTTATGGCGTTTGGGGTTTTAGAGGTTTAGCATTGCAGGCTTTAGGCTTCCAGAGTTTGGAGATGGCCCCCCAGCATTGCATTCACCTGCTCTCCGGCACAATCCTTGAAAGGGACTCGTAGAAACCTTTGATGGTTCTTCCTTTACCCTTTGCTTTCCAGGAATTCAGGCCTTGAGAGGGATTCGAAAATGCCCTTACAGCACTGAGGGCAGAGGGTACTTACGGGTGCGACGCCAACATCCCCTGAAACCCTAAAACCCCAGCCTCGAAAGCCTGCACTCCTCAAACTCTGAACCAACAGGACCCTATGGGCCCTATTCAGATCCTGCAACTGCGAACTACAACTACTTGATGAGCATTTCCATCTCGGCATTCTTCGAAGCTTTTCCTGTAAAGGTTCAGCTTGGATGCCTTTTGGGTTTTGGGGACTCAGGGACTTTAGGCGAAGGGTTAAGGAGTTAAGGAATTCTTGGGGTTTCAAGGCCTAGGGCTTCAAGGTTCAGGGTCTAGCCTGAAAATTTGGCTGCTTTGGCTGCCTCTTGTTTAGGGATAAATGTCCACGTGGCAGTCTCCAGAGGGAGGATCCCTTCCCAATGTGCAACAATCCCGTTTTCAGGGCTCCCTTTCTTCGAACTCATAATCTTGGAAACCCCCAACATGGTTCTTTAACGTTCTCTGAAGGTCATCTCAACACCACCTGCAACCCCTGAAATTGAATATGTCCCGCTAACATGCTTGGATTCCTGTGTGTCATGTTCATTGTGGTTCCTAGTTTAGCGGATGCAGTCATGCACCACGACGTAGAGCCTCTTACAGCATTCAGGACGCTGCGAACCCCAAAACCCTGGCCACCCCCAAGCGCAACACCCCAAGACCCCCAAACCCTAGACTTAAGATTAGCCTGCTCAAGTAAGGAGGATTCCGTGAAGAAGGCTGAGGCTCGACTGGAAGAGAAGGAAAAGGCGCTTGCCCACATACAGCGCTTCAGCCGAGATTTGGGAGAACTCCACATTGGGGTACGCTTGGGGATCCCGAAGAATGTGAGACGTCAGAATTATTGGGGTTAACCTTAAAGGCTACATTGGATCATCTTGAACAGCTCTCATGTGGGATTCACAAGGGGGCTCCCATCAATCCCTGGGATTGCTACGGCCCCTGAACCATGAGCCCCTTAACCCTGACCGCAAAATCCCCAAGCCTCTGAAGCCCAAGCCCTGCCCCCTTCAGAATCCTTACTGCTTAAGTCCCAAGCCCCAAGATTAAAACCAAATCCTCCCGAATCTTGAACCTTAAAGCTCTTAACCTTAAACTTGAACCTTGAACCAAAACCCCAGAATCCTCGAAGTCCAAAGCTTCCAAAGGAGCATGAAGCCCGGCGAGGGCGCGGAAATCTACATCGGCAACCTTGCTTCTGGGCGGCACTGGGATCTTTGTAAGGGATTTCCGGTGTTGAGGGTTGGGGGTTTTGGGTTCAGGATGAAGGGTTCGGATTTTGGGATGAGTAGCTGTAAAAGGGGTTTGGAGTGTTCAGAGACTGCGCAAATTTCTGGGGCCCTTCTCATGATCGAAATGGGTACCTTATCATTTTGGTGGGCTTGCATGTCCTCCGAATTTTGAAAGATCATTGCAGAACGCTCTTCTGCGCTTTGCCCTAGCACGGACACCAACGTCGAGCCCTCCCTGAAGCTCCAATGCATCATTTTCTTCTTGCAGCCTCCAGATGGAACCTGCTAAGACCCAAAGCCCAAGCCCTGCGCCTCAGACCTTTGCCTCATGCACTACAAAGTCTTCATGGATGGGTGCAAATCTGCAGGTTCGGGGTCTGCTTTGGCCTCCACGTAACTCATCCTCATTTCTGTAGTGGGAGTCTGGTAGAGTTTGAAAAAGAAGCATTTGGGGTTCTGGAATCCTGAATTTGTCCATGCCCGCGCAAGATATCTTTCACGTTTGTGAAGCATGCTCTTGCATGCCAAACCAAATGCGTGCCAACGTGTGCACCGGTGGGCCCTGAATCATTAAGCCTTGAACCGCAAATCCGCAACCCCACATTCCAAACCCTACAACATGTAGTTCTTCAAAGATTCATAAGTAGTCCAGGAGCAGGATCAACAAACCGCTTATGGGCAGCGCCATTCCGGAAAGGACATCCGCATCTTTGACCTGTTGTCGTTTGGGGTTTGCTCGGTGTAGGGTTTGTTTTGATTCCAATCAAATCAATATGTGCCATTTCTACAGGCTCGAATTTCTTACAATATGCTTATGAACCTAACCTTTCATATCTCTCCAGGACAGCCCGGATGGAAGTTGCTCCCAGTGGGCGCCAATAAAAATACTTCCAAATCCCCATGATGTATTTCGCATGCGGTTTATGGCTAGGCATATCCGAGGTTTTTTTAAATGGCTACAATCCGTAGTCGTTGTGATTATCCCACTCTTGATGTCACAAGTGGCCCTGCTTCAACATCAGTTTTCTGTGGGCTGGACGTCAGGGTTCTACATCTTAAGCCAGGATGTTTCATAACATGGCTGAAGCTGCTCTGAGGACTGTAGGGTTTGGATTTGGCTTTGCGGTTTGAGTTTGGCAGGTTCCAGTTTTGTAGCGTTGAAGAAGCTGGGAAATGTACACCTATATTGGTGAATCGTATCAGTCTCTTCGGTCACTTATGACCCAGGGTAGGATGTTTGATGCCACTATACTGGTAACGTTCTAGCGCAGTACTTGTGATCATGCATGAAACAAACCATTGACCATGAGTGGGAATCAAATGGGGTTTCCATAGTTGGGGGGGCCAATATAGACCCCCAATCTACTTCGGGCCCTTCACAATGGGCCCCTGATGTCAGGAAAATCTCTAAGGAGCCCTTGCTCTCTTGCCCTCAGTCTCTCCACCTGATCTGTTGGCGTTCGTCAGCTACCGGCGCTGAAGCGCTGTATTAGCAAGACGATCGTACAGGATGCACTTCGTAGTGAAATGTTAGTGTTGCGACTACTTGTTTCCCAGTTATCTTGTTAATTGCCAGCTTGAACTCTGAGCCGTAGACCTTAGATATGAGGCCATCAGCCTTCAACCCTGAAGCTAAGCCCAAAATCCTAAATCCTAGACCCTCAATCTGCAACCCTAAACCATTAATCCTTCATCCGGAAGCGTCAGCCCAGGCATTCGATACCTGCCGCAGCCTGGAAGGGAGCAAGAAGCGCCGGATTCGAGCAAATCTTTTAGCAGTCTGAAGCTCAGTTAGGATTTGGGGTTTGGAGCCTTGAGAGATCAGGGTATGGAGGCTTTCGGGTTTGAGGTTTGGAGGCTTTAGGGTAAGGGCTTCTGAGGGGTTCAGGATTGGGTTTCGGGGCTGTTCAGGTTCTATGTTGTGGGTTTCAAGTATGGGTTCAGGGTGACGCTACCACCCGACAAAAAGTAAGATTATCTCCGCCTACCCTCAACTTCTCGTCTGTCTGAACTCTTAAACCCAACTTCGCTAACTCCAATTGACAAAGACGCGCTTTAATCTTTTTGGGCATCTACAATCCTATCATAAGTAAAGGGTTAACTCTTTTGGGCCAGGAAACTCAGCAGATACAGGGCAGGCCCAACACCCTAAACGAACAATCCCCCGTCTCATTTCTAATTAGCTTCACTGCAAATGCCCTGCAATAACTACGTGCAGGCTCGTTGCACCCGACCTCGTTGGGATGATCCTGAAGCCTTGAACCCTAAACCTTGAACTTCTACGCAGTAACACCACAAATGCATGATAGCATCAGGGAATTGGTCAGAACTGTCAGACCTAGACGCTTACAACCTGACTCACGTAGATCCTTCAACCTGGGCCCCAAACCCTGACCCCTGAACACGAACCCCAGCCACTCAAAACATAACAAGCTCTGGCAGAGCCGCTGTAGAGCGCTGGCCAAGCCCGGAAAACACCCATAACTGACTAAGTCTTTGAGCTTCCCGTTCTCAGCATAGCACATTCTCTTAAGCAGGTTCCCCCCGAGTCGGGAGCGATGTTGGGGCACGCTGCCACAGCCTACGATTTCTACAACCCCCCATCACCTCTATACAGCTGTCTTTTGAACACACCTTTTGTCAGACCTCCTTGCAGAAACCTTCAGGCGCGGGGCTGAGCGGCGTCCTGACACAGTCCAAGTACAGGGACCATCAGCTGTGGGCGCCTGGGACAATAGTTTAGGGTGTACTTGGACCCTGCGGAACCTGCCTCTTACAGGTCAATACTGTCTTCTGTTTTTTTGGTATGTACTTCTAAGGCTGAACCACCCTGCACCCCAAATCAAAAGACTTCACACCTTCAAGACGAGTTTTCGACTCAGGTTTTCTCAGGCTGCCAGGACACGGAAACCAGTGCACCTGGGCCTGGAGAATTATGTGGGGGTTTGTAAGCTGGCTGCAGGGATCTCCCTCAAGGATTATAAGTTTATCAAGGAGCATCGTGAAAAACTCCTACACAATCATTGGATCCTCAGATCTTTCTTTGGTATGCCTAAGAGCGTGACTACAGCTGGCCCCTGCTCAGTCTTCCTCCTCTGGTTGAGATGGAGCAGGTCTAGTCTTGAGGACAAGAGTTTTGGGATTAGGGCCTATTGGGGTCTAGGCTTTCGGTTCAGGCTGCATGTCATGGGGAGTATAGTTTTGCTTTACTAGGCACCTCTTCTCTGCATGCTGTTTTTCTATCCCATGTGCCGGCTGCTGAGCTCAACACAAATCTTTACCTGGTCCCTACAAGTCCTGGGAACCGAAGTATGCCTGACAAACGATCCTTGAACTCTGAACCTTGACTGGAACCCCAATCCCAAAAGCCGTGTGTGACTCCAGAAACCTGTATCGGTTCAGAACGGATCTCAGGTGTAGGAAGATGCCTCTACATGATTCCTAAGTGGTCCCATATGGTATCCTCATAATTCCCATGTATTCCTGAGGTCCTGATTGTAGACCCCAAACTTTGAGACCTGGCTGTAGGAAGATGCCCACGTGGATGGGAGCTACCAGGGAGCCTTCACCTGGGCGCTTCTTAAGGCTTTGGAGGCAGATGGCTTCAGAGAGCTTCGATCTCTTCCTAGAAAGGTGTTCTTCTTTTTTGGTATTTGACTTGTACATGGGCAGCTTTGAATCTGGGTGGCTGTTGTTTACAAAGGAGGCTGTAGTCACAAAACATTCGGCTGCACAATGAAGCTGCAATGTGTTTGATGACCACTCAAAGCCAGACCAACACAGAACTACAATGGTCCCTGCAAGACTTGCGGACGCCAACAAGACTCGGCCCCTGCTCAGCCCCTTTTTCGGGTGAGGGCTCCTCTACATGGAGAAGCTTCGGATTTGTCCTACTTTGCTGGGGGGTCTCACGAAGCTCCCAAACTCTCTCCTCTCATGCCATTAAAACCTTGGTATCATGAAGCCAGTTCTACTATGCCGTAAAACTTTTTGTTTTTACCTTTCAAGCCTCCCTAGACGGCCGCCGCTTGAAGCAGCCTAGGAAAGCTACAGCAACTTGTTGGTCCAAATCAAGACATATCTGGAGGGCGGGCGCTTCAAACAGGTGCCTGCACTGTCCACCACGCACAAGACGCACCCGGGATTGCTTAAGACTAGTCTCAACACATTGTGCCTACTTTTTTGTTCGTCGTCGTTGCCGCAGTGGTGGTGGTGGTGGTGG